TGCCAGGTGCACAGTCTCTCATGGGTCCCTGTACGGCCTCCCATTGCTGCTGTCTCCATCGCCACACTCTGCCATGTGCCACTTTCAGGTCTCCTCACACTGCTGGTGTGTTACATTTTTTGTCATAGGGTGCTGGCAGATTACGGGCATCCCATTGCTGCTGCCAGGCCCGTAATCTGCCATGGGCCCCAGTACCGCCTCCTCATGCTGCTGCCAGGTCCACAGTCTCTCATGGGTCCCTGTACGGCCTCCCATTGCTGCTGTCTCCATCGCCACACTCTGCCATGTGCCACTTTCAGGTCTCCTCACACTGCTGGTGTGTTCCATTTTTTGTCATAGGGTGCTGGCAGATTACGGGCCTCCCATAGCTGCTGCCAGGCCCCTAATCTGCCATGGGCCCCTGTACCGCCTCCTCATGCTGCTGCCAGGTCCAGAGTCTCTCATGGGTCCCTGTACGGCCTCCCCATTGCTGCTGTCTCCATCGCCACACTCTGCCATGTGCCACTTTCAGGTCTCCTCACACACTGCTGGTGTGTTCCATTTTTTGTCATAGGGTGCTGGCAGATTACGGGCCTCCCATTGCTGCTGCCAGGCCCCTAATCTGCCATGGGCCCCATACCGCCTCCTCATGCTGCTGCCAGGTCCACAGTCTCTCATGGGTCCCTGTACGGCCTCCCATTGCTGCTGTCTCCATCGCCACACTCTGCCATGTGCCACTTTCAGGTCTCCTCACACTGCTGGTGTGTTCCATTTTTTTGTCATAGGGTGCTGGCAGATTACGGGCCTCCCATAGCTGCTGCCAGGCCCCTAATCTGCCATGGGCCCCTGTACCGCCTCCTCATGCTGTTGCCAGGTCCAGAGTCTCTCATGGGTCCCTGTATGGCCTCCCATTGCTGCTGTCTCCATCGCCACACTCTGCTATGTGCCACTTTCAGGTCTCCTCACACACTGCTGGTGTGTTCCATTTTTTGTCATAGGGTGCTGGCAGATTACGGGCCTCCCATTGCTGCTGCCAGGCCCGTAATCTGCCATGGGCCCCCGTACCAACTCCTCATGCTGCTGCCAGGCCTGTAATCTGTCATGGGCCCCTGTTGTCGCTTGTTGGCATATTCCGCTCGTTCAGATGCTCCTTCTCCTGCTACTCCTCTTCACGGATTCCGTCAGCAGTCTTTCTTGGAATCCGTTTCCAAGAGACAACAGTTTGCGAGCACGCACCCGACAGTGCAGAAGCTGAACGTCCTCCTGTCCAAGTTGCTGCTGCCAGGCTCGTAATCTGTCATGCGCCCCTGTACCGCCTCCTCATGCTGCTGCCAGGTCCAGAGTGTGTCATGGGCCCCCGTACCGACTCCTCATGCTGCTGCCAGGCCCGTAATCTGTCATGGGCCCCTGTACCGCCTCCTCATGCTGCTGCCAGGTCCAGAGTGTGTCATGGGTTCCTGTACGGCCTCCCATTGCTGCTGTCTCCATCGCCACACTCTGCCATGTGCCACTTTCAGGTCTCCTCACACTGCTGGTGGTTTCCATTTTTGTCATAGGGTGCTGTATGGCCTCCCATTGCTGCTGCCTCCACCGCCACACTGTGGCTCCACACTCTGGTTTTGGCCCCGTGACTGCCCAAATGTGTGAAGTGTGCGGTGATTCTAAGATCGACGGCACTCATCTGCATGTCATACTGACTGTCAGTATTTTTTCTCTTCCCCAGCAGACTCCAAGGGCATTTAAATTAAAGGTACAGTGTTCTGCACTAATATAAAGGCTCTCTGAAGCCTAGAAACACCCTTTTATAAGTTAAATTCGCAGCGAATATATTCGACTCGAATCAAAATTTTTTCACGAATTCGCCGAATCAGTCGAATCGAATTTTTGAATAATTCGCTCATCTCTAGACATTGTGATTCGTATGGAGCCGGTTTTATTTGACTGACGGATTGCTGACTCTCCCTGACTTGCTCCAGTCACAGGATAGATCTTGGTAAAAGTTTTATCTGTTTTTTATTCCCTTTTATTTTATAGTGAATAGTCTGTGTGTCTTCTTGTATTTTTTGTATTCTTTGTAACTTTTTATACTTTGTACATATTTTATGCACTGCCCACTTTCAGGATATTAAATCTTGAAATGAATAAGTGACTTCTGTGTACTTAAGCGGGCTCATATCTTTGGAGAGATTAGATTGTATTGTATTTTAGTGCTTAACATGCTCGGTCAAGCTCATTGCCAATCTGTATGCAATTGCACTGCGTGTTGGCAGATTGCGTGCAGATTGTAAAGGTAACAGATCTGCCAGACGGAGTGTGTGTGTGGTGTCCCAGCAGACCATTCTGCAGATAAACTGTTGGGTGGTGGCCAGCTACCATTTGTGGTGTGTCTGGTGTGGGGGGGTGTGGACAGTTGAAGAGTGATTAACACTGGGGTTCTGGCTTGTAGGATAGCTGGAGGGATCCTAGAAGGGTGTGTGATTGCTAAGCTGCTCCTCAACTCTAATTAGTGCACCAGATTGTATATAAGATTTGTGTCTGCCTGTGTGTGTGGTTGGACATCTGGATTGGAGTGGAGTCTCCCTCCAGTGGTGGCCAAGAGGTAGTGTGGGCTGTGAAAGTATATCACGGCTGGTCTTATATACGGTTTTATATATTCAAAGTTAAGTCCCCCTTATTCTCTCTTACCCCAAGTCACGGCCGCACGTGCGCGCCTCAGTTAGCCGCTGTGGGCGTGGTGTGTGGGTGAATCCGTGACACAATATAACATTGAATGAATGCTATATAACATATATTTGACCAATCTCAAAAATGTGCATCCAATGAGAATTAAAAAATTACATGTATAACTGTGAAATAATATAAATTTAAATGTGGACAGCTTGGTGCACCTCAAATCAGTATATACAGTATATTAGAGTCCAAACATGAATAAGTCCCCACAGTGACAAAAAAGTGTGAGTCTTCTAAACCCTCATGCTCAAATAACTGTTGTTGCCTTCACCAGTAAGTGCTCATATAGGTAGACCCTCACCTCAACAGTGGGACCCCCATTTTAAAGGAGGTCATAAGTGTATGGCACAGAATTCTGATCACTATCAAAGATCCACATTCCTGTCAGCACTCATACCTCTCAAGCTTATGTGATCTCAAATACAAGAAAAAGACTCCATATTTGTCTCTATTGCAATATATTTCTTAAAAAAGCATACCCCAAAACACTCACATTAAAATCTTCACAAATCAGCATGTACATAGTGTGCTGGTTATGCGTATGGGCACACGACAGGCTGTGTGTGTGGCAGCCGTGTTGTTCTAATATATCAATTATAATAGGAATTGATGAAGGTATGGTATTCCCTCTTACCACATACTTCCTGTCCCACCAACCTGATGGTCAGGGGCAAGTGAACCGTTCCCAACCCTTCGTGAGTCCCGCGGGTGATCGGAAGGAGGGACACAGGGGGGAAGACAGAGTGAGAGGAGCAAGGGAAAAGAAAAAAAAAACAAAAAACAAAGGGGGAAAAGGAAGAGAGGGGAGGGGGAAGGGAAAGGAAGGGGAGAAAAGGGGGGAGGGACAGGAAGGGAGGACCCAAAAGGGGAAGGTATATCCCACTCCCCCAGAGTAAATTCCCAGAAAAAAAAACAGGGAAGAACCTAGTCCAGGGGACGGAGCCAAAGTAAGAGGGATGACGCCTTGATCTGCGATGCAGGGCCTGCCAACCTAGCAGGAGTCAAGAAACAAGTGAACTCAACTACAAGCCAGAGGTATAAAAAAAAACAGAGACATAATTGTAACAAAAAGGGAAAGGGTAAAATGGGAAAGCTAGGGAGTCCACAATGATCTGCAGAGGGATATAAAAGAGGTGCCACCAAAATATCTGGAAGGGTGCTACCTAAACCTTAATGTTTATTAATGAATGACATACACAGTAAAAACATTGCATCGGAGATCCGGTGTACACGCCCAATCACAAGGGTCCCCACCCCCCGGAATGGAAGGACCTCCCGTGTCAGACACTGACCGATGGTGAAGACATGTCCACTGGGTAAAATGCCTTCCTGATGGAAACTCAACCCCCCACAGACCCAGCCACCCCTCACTCTCCCAAGCAGACCCAACCACCTATACCCCACAACTCCTCCATTCCCCCAATGCTCCTCCCACAATGACCCCCCCCAGATAGGGGGGAGAGAAGGGAGCTGAGGAAAAAACACCAGCCCACTAACACCCCCAACCCCCAGACCACGCTAGATGTAATAGTTGACCCATCGACACACCAAATGCGCCATCAATACATATGAAAATTGAGCAGCCTGCTGTGCATACACAACCGATACCATGTAGTAGGTGGTAAACCAGACAGATACATGTGTGTTTGGGGGGTGTTAGTGCCCGGTGTTTTCCTCAGCTCCCTTCTCTACCCTACGGGGAGTGGGTGTGGTTGGGTAGGTGGGCTCCTATCTGGGGGGGGGGGGTTTATTTGTAACATTTTAAGTCCAAACACTGCTACAATATATTAGAGGATATGGTGGAACCACTGGCACCCCGTATCCCTCCTAGGTACAGTAGACATCTGAAACCTGTCATCTTTATATTCATTCTGAAGCTAATTTCATGCTAGATAATATGCACATTAGCAGGCTGTAATCTGTAGGTATTCAGAGATATTAATACCAATAGCAAACTGAATCTGGGACTTGGTCATAAACATAGTGATATCCCATCAACCTCTCTGGATAATTGGTCAGATGGTCTCTGTCAACACCCCCCCTTGATATGAAGAAAAGCAGAAATCTTTTGTGCAGTGTAGAGCGCAAAGAGTGGTCTTGTTGCGTACGTACTTTGGTCGCAGGTTGGTGAAAAGGCAGCGATCTGCACAAATAGGTAAACCTCCAGTTCCTGGAGCCTGGGACCTGGGAAATGTAAGGTTATGCACTTGGAGGCTAAGAATATGCATGGTCATACATACTAGGGGGGAGTACATCTGGGGGAATCAATAGTGGAGAAGGATCTGGGATTTCTGTAGATCAAAAGCGTAAATAATGGCATGCAATGCCAAGCTGCAGTTTCTAAGGCGAGCAAAATACTCTCTTGTATTAAAAGAGGTATAGACTCCAGAGAGAGAGAGATATCATTTACCCCTGTACAAATCATTAGTAATACCTCATTAACATGGGGACAAGGTGGCTTTGGGGGGAGCCCCCCTTCCCCAAAGCACCCCCCATGTTGAGG